CCCAAAGGGCCCCCCCCAGCCCCCCCCCCCCCCTCCGACTCTGTCCTGGACTGTAGGCCTCTGAGCTGTGGGAGGTGGTGGAGGAGCCTCGGGGCCGGCGAGGCGCAGAGGGTATCATGCCCGAGAGGCAGGAGGGCCACCTGCTCAAGAAGAGGAAGTGGCCTCTGAAGGGCTGGCACAAGGTAGGTTCCAGGGCAGAGGGCAGGGCCAGGTTCAGGGCAGCATGGGGGGATGCTGGAGGTGGCTCGGCATGCTGTGTGCGTGCGTGCGTGTGTGTGTGTGTGTGTGTGTGTGTGTGTGTGTGTGTGTGTGAGAAGAAGGGGAAGAAGGATCCGTGTGTGCAGTTGCTCTCTCCCCACACCCTTCCTCTTGGTCACCTGGGTCCTGTTCCTCCTGGGTGACGTCACAGAGATACTTCGTGCTCGAGGACGGCATCCTTCGCTATGCGACCACTCGGCAAGATGTGAGTCAGGGCCTGGCTGGGGGTGATGGGGGAATCGGGTCCCAAAATGCCCAGGGCAGGCAGGGGGCTTCTGAAACCCCCCCAGAGCAGGGCCCGAGTCCCAGGCCCACTATTCCTGGGTGTGGCGTCTTGAGCAGGTGTCTTCCCTGGGCCTCAGCTCCCCCCTCTCTAAGACGGGGAGAGTGCGATCACCCATGTGTAAGGTCATTGTCATCTTGGTGAGGGCCCTCAGGACAGGGCCTGGCACAAAAGTGCCCAAGAAAGGGGAGCTTGATCCTCCTCCTCCTTGTCCTGTCCTCGTGCTGGGAAGAAGGAGCTGAAGGCCAAGCAGCCGGGCTCTCTATGCCTCAGCCTTGCGGACCCCTGAGAGGGGGCGGGGTAGTTTTCCCTGCTCTGTGACTCCCTGGAGCTCAGAATGTGACTTGTGAGTTCTGTGCACAGGACGACAGAGAGGTCCCTGCTGGTACTGTGACTTGGTTATGAGGGTGAACCTGCTGCTTGGTCTCAAGTGGCCTCAGGGACATGATGGCTCTGTGGCCCAGGGGTCTAAAAACATCCCCTTCCCCCCACTCCCCTCCCCCCACCCCAGATCACCAAGGGGAAGCTGCATGGCTCCATCGATGTCCGACTGTCTGTCATGTCCATCAACAAAAAGGCCCAGCGCATTGACCTTGACACCGAAGACAACATCTACCACCTCAAGGTGACATCCCTGGGAGCCCGTTGGTGGCTTGGTGCCCAGCCTGGCAGAGGCACTGGGGCCCCCAGGAGAGGGGGACAGGGGCTGAGGGTCCGTCCCTGAGTTTGATAAGAAGGGAGCTCCCATCGTGTCCAATAGCCAATGGCAACCCGCCCCTGTTGGTTGTTAGATGAACAAACAGAGCTCAGAGCTCGGACATTGGGGAAGCTGGGTTCCATCTCTTGCCGGGGGCCTTTGCAGAAGCTGGACGTAAAGCGAGAGAGCCTGCTTGCCTGGGGACCAGAGCCCCAACTTCCTGCCCTGGAAAGCACTCCTCCTTTCATGTGTCCCTCCCCCTCCCATCACGTCTGCAGATCAAATCCCAGGACCTGTTCCAGAGCTGGGTAGCCCAGCTACGTGCCCATCGCCTGGCCCAGCGCCTGGACATGCCCCGCGGCCCGCTGCCCAGCAACTCTCACCGGAAGGTAAGGTGGGCCCTGGGGCAGGAGCCGCGGGGATTCAGGTGTGGCGGCCTCAGGGAACAGGGAGACCCAGGGAGGCGGGCACCATCCTTCCTGACCCTTGACTCGCCCCACAGGTTCCCGGTGCCCAGCTTCCCACAGTGGTCAGTGCCTCAGCTCTACCTGGGGTTGGACCTCGGGAGAAGGTGTCCTCCTGGTTGAGGGGCAGTGATGGCCTAGACCGCTGCTCTCACGGTGAGGGGCCCCTGGCGCCGCGTCTCGGTGGGTAGGGCCCACACGGTCACGTTTACATGGCATCAGCAGTCACAAGAAGGAGAAATGTTAACACGTTATCCTCGTGCCTCAGGGAGCCCCGGTCTGATGGGGGAGGCAGCCTCTGCCTCCAAGCTGACTGGGTCTCCTCAGGCCCTGTCGGGGGAGTTCCAGTCCTACAGCGGGTGGTGGGGCTCCTGGCTCATGGGCAGGCAGGACACAGGGCCAGGCCTCATGAGAGAGAAGATGCAGTGCCAATGTGGGGAGTGGGGCTCTAGAATCGGGTTCCTGGAGGGGGGCTGTGAGGTTGGCCCGGGAGAGGGGAGTGCAAACCAAGTGAGGCCCGAGAGAGCGTGAGGCAGCAGAGGGAGGGTGTGCTGTGGCGACCGTGGGGATTGGGTGCCGCTTTCCCGGGGAATCCAGGGTGGGGCCAGGTCAAGGGTGGGAACTGGGAGCTTCTGTGGGCTCAGGATTCGGGGTCAGGGGGAGGAAGACTCTCAGGATTTCCCTGGCTGCCGGGGGAGGAGGAAGGAAAGCTGGGGGACAGACTCTGGGGTACCCGGCCAGCGTCGGGAGGACTTGCTCATTCATTCTCCCCGCAGAGCTCTCGGAGTGTCAGGGGAAGCTGCAGGAACTACACCGACTCCTCCAGAGCCTGGAGTCTCTGCACCGCATCCCCTCGGCCCCTGTGATCCCCACACACCAGGTGAGGTCCAGGGGAGGAGGGTGCAGGCTCCTGCGGGGGGGGGGTGTGTGTGGGGGCTCTCGCCTGATTGCCGCGTCCATCCCATCACTTCCCGGGACCGGTCCCCAGCCCCCTTACGTCACTGCTGTTTTCAGAGAGGCACGCACCGGCCCCCTACTCTCTTCCTATGACCAGCTGCCTCGGTGCTGTCGCTCTGTCCCTTTGGAGCGACCCTTCCTCCCGTCTGCCAGGGCGTCGGGCTCCTTTCTCTGGGAGGTCGCTTTCCCTGTGCCCTCCTCCATGGCCCCCTGCCTCTCTCCCGGCTCGATGGCTGCTGCCCCCACTCCCCACCCTGAGAGGGAACCTCCCTCACGTTGACTTGCTAGGCCTCGGTGACGACGGAAAGACCCAAGAAGGGCAAACGGACCAGCCGCATGTGGTGCACACAGAGCTTCGCCAAGGACGACACCATCGGGCGGGTGAGGAGGGGTGTAGACCCCAGTTCCCGGGGTGGGACGCTCCGACGGACGCCACCCCCTCAACCCCTCTCCTTCCCCCACAGGTGGGTCGTCTCCATGGCTCTGTTCCCAACCTATCCCGGTACCTGGAGTCCCGGGACCACTCAGGACCCCGGGGGCTGCCACCCCCAGACTATGCCCACCTGCAGCGCAGTTTCTGGGCCCTGGCCCAAAAGGGTGAGTGTGCGCTGGCGGGTGGTGGGAGCAGGGGGCGAGGAGGAGGTGCTGACGGCCTGCCCCTGCCCTCGCAGTGCACAGCTCCCTCAGCAGTGTCCTGGCCGCCCTCACCGCCGAACGGGACCACCTGAGGGATCTGCACCAGGGCTCCGAGCTGCCCAGAATGGGGGTGAGGCTTGGGGACAGGGTGGCCGGTGGGGGGAGGGGGCTCGAGACGGAGGTCTGCAGGCCTGGGGGTGGTCGCAGATCTGGGCCTGGAGGGCGCGTGGCAGAGGCCGTATCCTCCTGGGACCCTGTCTCCTCACCCTCTCCCTGCAGATCTCCGAGGCCTCCGCTGGCCCGAGGCGCCTCCATTCACTGTCCATCTCCTCGGACACCACGGCGGACTCCTTTAGCTCCCTCAACCCCGAGGAGGTAGGAGCCGGGTGGCCGATGGGGACCGTTCCTCCTGGGCCCTCTGTTCTAGCAGGATGAAGGCACCGTTGGATTTCAGACCTGCCACGGCCCAGAAATCGTAGCTCCCACCCTTTCACGTAAAACACTGGCAGCAGCCACCTCTTGGTCATTACTTAACAGTGTGCAGAATGCTTTCATTTAGTTCAGAGGCCTGTGAGGCGGTGATTCCTTCCCTCAAGGCGTAGATGAGGAAACGGAGGCTCAGAGTCCCATGGAGGGGCCCGCGCTCGCCCCCTTGTGGACCAGTGAGCTGGGAGTTAGGCGTTCCGAGCAGACTCCGGGGGCCTCCATGGGTTTGAATTTGGCTCCTCCGCCTGCCAACTTTGTGACCCTGGGCCTCAGTGTTAATAGTCTGCAAAGTGCTGGTAATAAGGACACTTAACCTCAGAGGGTGCGTGTCAGGACTGATGGAGTTCATACACACAAAGGCCTGGAGCCGGGCTCAGAGCCGGTGCCCAGGAAGCGTGAACAGTTATTGTGGGACCCGTGTCTCCTTACCCCCAGGCTGGGGTTCACTCCACTACGCTCGCCCCGTCTTCTCCTGCTCGACAGGTTTCACACTCAGTCCCGGTTATGCTTCCCTCCGAGGGGAGCTGGCAGGCTGGGGGGTCCTGTCTGCCTCTCCCAGCCCCGCTGACCTCCGTCCGCTCCCACAGCAAGAAGCTCTGTACATGAAGGGGCGAGAGCTGACGCCCCAGCTGTCCCAGAGCAGCGTCCTGTCCCTCGCGGATTCCCACACGGAGTTCTTCGATGCCTGCGAGGTGCTTCTCTCCGCCAGCTCTTCTGAGAACGAGGTGAGGGAGGCAGAAGCTGGCAGGCAGAGCTGGGGGCCCTGCGGGTAGAGGGGTGGGATGCAGAGACACTAGAACCTATGGAGTCCCAGTCCTTTCTGCTGTTCTGGGAACACGGACAGCCCGGCTGGGTTTGAGTGGCCCTGATCACAGATCTCTGCTGGGACCTTCGTCCAGTTTGACGCACTTTATCCCCATTGGGTTCCCCTGAAATTGCTGCCTCAGCTCCACCCCAGCCATCTTCTTGTGACCCCATTTCAGACCCGGGGCTCCCTTGACCCCCACCCTACACCCTCGAATCTTAGTGATCCCAGTTTCCATTCCCTTTGTGTCTTGCCAAGTCCCTGAGTTTCTCCCTGCGCCCCCCCCCCCCCCCCCCCCCCTCCCCCC